ATTCTTCTCTTCATACTCAGCAATTGTATATAGGGTAATAGGGTGGGGATCTCAACCATTTCCAAGCAATAAACCATTTTTTGCCCCACCCTTTAGCCAAGGGGGTCAGCTCAACTACTTGTACAATTTGAATCCCTGCCTCTCATGAATGCTTTCAACCAAATATGATTGATATCCAGCGCATAGTTCTACAGAAGAAGTCATTTATAGCAATATAGCCCCCTTTTGGCCACGGCCCTCAACCCCCTGGGGGGTCAGCCCCATCATTTGTACATTTATGAATCCCCACTACCTAGGGATGCATCCAGTCAAATAAGGTTGATATCCATCACTTAGTTCCAGAGAAGAGTCGCTTAAAGCAATATAGCTGAATAACTCTTTTTGGCCCCACCCCTCAGCCCCCTGGGGGGACAGCCCCACCATTTGTACACTTTTGAATCCCTGCCTCTCATGAATGCCTCTGACCAAATATGACTGATATCCAGAAAATAGTTCTACAGAAGTCAGAATAGCAATTTCGCCGAATTGCCCCTTTTGGCCCTGCCCCTCCGCCCCCTTGCCCACCATTTGCACAATTTTGAATCCCCACCACCTGGATGCTTCCAGTCAAATATGGTTGATGTTCATCTTTTAGTTGTAGAGAAGAAGTCATTTATAGCAATACATATAGTCAAATTGCCCCCCTTATGGCCCCGCCCCTCAGCCCCCTGGGGGGTTAACCCTACCGTTTGTACAATTTTGAATCCCCACCACCTAGGGATGCTTCCAGTCAAATTTAGTTAAATTCCATTCATTGGTTAAGAAGTATAAGTCATTTGAAGAAATCGTTGATGTACGGACGACGGACGCCACAATATGGCATAAGCTCACCTTGGTCCTTCAGACAAGGTGAGCTAAAAATGTAGTAAATTTACAAATGTAAACAAATATTAGTTTTGATTCACTGAATACAATTAAGATAATCTCGCGTCCTGACGGATGCTTTATAATGACAAAAGGTCATCTGAAATACCTATGAGATTTACACTTTTATCAAACACTGATTAGGTTGCCATACTCTGTTACTAGCACATCGATATTGTTTAGTAACAACAGGACATATTAAAGTCTCACCAGTTTAAAACTAACAAGATCACTAATGTTTTCATTTACAAAATGTAGTATTTTATCCACATTCAATCTAATTGTTATATCGTATTCAACACCAATTTTGTTTTAATATATATATACAAGTGTTAATCGAAATCCCTCAACACAACCTTCAATATTTAAAAGTACCGTGCTGCTAACTTTTACTCTTTTTTACTCAGAAAGTGAAACGTTTCAAAGATATAAAATAAAAAGAATGTAATTTCATTTCCTTACATGCCTTTTAAGATTCAATATTTTACATAATATTAAGCATGGCTTCAACCCTGCTTCTGTTTGAGATAAGTAGCAATCAGGAAAAGGCTTTGTTCACTCATCCATGACAAAAATATAACTCATTGACATCAAGAATCTTTTTCAAAACAATATACTTAGTGATTATGGAATTTTATGACAGCAATTCTAACCACAGATTTTCCAACAGATTGCAGCACGGTGACTTTAATATTTACATAAATATGACTGCAGATGGGGCTTAACATCTTTGATCCGGTTTTAAACCAGTCTAGGACTGAACATTCAGTTCACACAAAGAAATCCTATTTCATTTTGTATTCTCATTTGCTTTTATAGGTGTTTCAAAATTTATAAAGATTAATTTTACTATACAAATGAATTTAATAACGAGGCCTTTATATCAGCAACATGTCTATCCTTTATATCACAGTACTGCTATGGTGTATCATATAAGGTGTAGATGGTAGCAGTCATTGAAATGCTGACTCACAACCTTCACCATTACCTCCTTACTTTAAAATTATGTTCAAAATCATACTTCAAACTTACTATGTATTTCCATTATTGGACAGCCATATGATCAGTTACAAGATCAAATTAACTTACTACCCCACTACACTGATCAGGATTAGTTACATACAATATAAATATGAACAGTACAAGTGATTAACACATTCAGACCTTGACCGTATGTATATTTACAACACAACCTCATCATTGAAGCATGCAACGACTTTCACAACTTCCATATATACACAACCAGGCAAGCTACTATAAACCGTCAAAACATGTTCACACTAATTATATATACAATATTGTAAAAGTATCATATCCTGGATTAAATATATTCTAAAACACTACTGCCACTTGTATATGACAGGTTACATTCTTTATCTATGGCCCCCAGTAATTAATATCTTTACATATCAAGCACAACTCAAACAAAACTACCTTTGACACAAATCAAGCATTTACTCTTGTCAGACATCATAAAAAATAAATAAATTTTCCAATAGCAAAGTTTTTGTGAATTGTCAAGCTTCTTCAAGATAAGAAGGCAATTATAAACTTGTGTTATCGGGCACGTAGTTATCGTGGTACTCAATGCTCTCAACCTGAAATATTGAAGCGAGTGGATGACAGCAGTATGCACTTCCTGATGCCTGCAAGAAACAGAAATATGGTGAGACAGATGGAGAACATGCCAACATACCGAGGTGAACACATTATAAGTATCATTGAAAGACATCAGTGTATCATCCATCATTAGGAACATACATTCTTAGCAAATTTTGAAGTTAATGGGGAATTTCAATTCTAGTGAAAATTAAATAAAATCTGGAACAAAAATCTTCCAATTTAGACTTAGACTAACAGCTAAAACAAGGCTTGCATTGCTACAGCAATGAAAAGCTGTGGCTGTTATGAATATTTAAGGCTTATCTCATCGCAAATGTATAAGTATACGGTAAACCTTCGGTCAGTTCGAACAAAATTGAATAAATATTGTCAATCCTGTTCGAATTACACGAAATTAAAGCCGCTAAAATAACGAGTAGTTCGAACTATACAAGTTGACATCGGTAAAAATCACGGCAAACAATCAAGTCATTGATACGGAACGATGATGGCCTTATTGCGATGTATATTTGCAAATCAAGCTGAATAATGGAATATATATCTTTCTCACGAAGAGGTAAAAAGCCAAGTATGTAGGCCGCAAAGCAGTAGCATTTTCTCAAGTAATGACGAAAGTTCAGTTGTACTGATCAGAATGTGGAGGGTGGATTGAAACTGCAATTACGGATTAAAAGTCAATCAACCACCTGGTCAAATATTTTTTGTTTTGGCACATGTTTAGGTAATACATGTGTATATCAATTAAGTTATAAATCAGTGATTGGTGGCCAGGTCGCGATTATATCATCAAATTGTCATCAAAGTAATATCATGACAATACACACGTCTGTCAGTGATGCGACAGTAACATTCCGCGCTCCGTGTACTGTTAGGATATTATACATGGTCGGGGCCTAAAGATGTTTGACTGGCGCGTGATCATGTTTAAAAGAAAGAAACTCAATTATCGATGATATGTGACTTATTTATGTAAAAATTGTCCGAATTGATGACAACAATGGTCGCACATGAGTACTACTCGTTATTCTGTAGTTAAATGCTGTCGATACGCAAATAGAAAAAGTTTAAGCGAGTTTCGCGAGGCTATTATTGCATTGCCGATAGCCAACCTTGATCAATAATTACTTCAGTTCAGTTATTCAAGTTGTGTGTTTGAACAATCTGAAACGTGAGTAAGCAGGGTTCGAACTATCACTAGACAGAAAAGTATTATTTGTATTGTTCAAAAGGTGTGTTCGAATGATCCGCCTATTTGAACTGACCAGAGGTTTACTGTATACCTCAGAACCGTCTGTGTTGCTGGCATGATCTCAACATAATGCCTATTTCTATTTGGAGTAAGAATGCCAATCGATGCACGAACTTGCACAAATTGTTCTGGGATGGAGGCAGAAAAAGATTTATACCAGCATTCTTATCCAGAAAGAGTAAGGCTATATAATTGATAATGGCGAACTCTATAATTGACATTGGAAAACAGTCCTTTAGGTACAATTTATTTTAGGCATATCACAACCAGAGATATAGCGTTCCTCAGAACAGTAATCTTCAACTATTTTTGGCTATGGAATTCACCTGAACAAGCAATTTTACTAACATTTTAACAAAGTGAAGTTGCATATCAATAGAAGATTCTAGCACTGATACATTGCTGCATACTTTCATCAATTTTACATAAATGTTTTAATTTTTTAGGAGTACAACACATCCAAGATATTTAAATGAGGAATAATATTTCATAGGTATGTCTGACCTTTTACAGACCTCATCTGCAAAAGTGTCAATTTGAATGCTAAAACGCATATGCATATCTGCATTAAAATGGAAAGGTTAGAGCACAAAATTGAAAAATAGGATGTTTGTAATAATCATAAATTTTAACAAAACTTATGATTCTTTAAAAGTTAATAGCATATCTCTAAATTCATGAAAGTGAGGCAAGGTCACAGATAAAAAAAATGTAAGCTAAGTAATGAACATTTGTTTTATACAACATAGAAAACACTACCAAAATAGCTCAGAAATCGTACAAGTCACAAACATCTAGATATGGATAAATAACCAAAACATTGTGTTGCTTTTTACAAAGTCAAAACAGTGTATGCATTCCTGCATGAAAACCTCACAATGTTTTTACAATGGAAATATTGAAGTCAACCATCACATGTTACTACTGCTGTTGGGCCTAAGCCAACACAGACTTCACATGATCGAGTCGTTACATATACATATGGAATGAAAAGTAGAAGTACAAATATTCCACCAGTCTACATATAGCTGTGCAGGAGTACTGATCTGCCTGTCATGGGTTTGTTTGTTGTACATGTGTGCAGTCCGTCTGTATCTCTGTCCTTGCTGCTCCATACATCGTCTTCTTAATCTAAGAGTTGATGCTTAATACTGAAAACGGTGCACCGACACCTATCGCCTTACTTACCTTATCCTGTAAACAAAGTGGGGATGGTACTAATTACCTGCCCTTGTCCAGGTGACGCTGCTCCCATCTGATAATTGTATCCCTCTGGGTAGTTCCCTACTACAGGGTATATTTGGTCTTCGGGTGTAAGAGGTCTGGAACTCCCTCCTTGAAACGGCTCAGCATAGGGGTTAAGAGCACTGGAGTTGTGCTGGTAGTTGTAGTTCACGAAGCTCACTGGGGGTTGTTGTTGGGGAAATGGCATCCTTGTCAAGCCTGGATCAATAGGCTGTCTGAATGGTACACCACCAGGATATTGGGCTTGTGGCTGTGCCAGATGCTGGTTGTAATTTGGTCTGTAAGGACCTGTCACATACCTTGGCACTGACTGGAATCCTGGCCCGCCAGTCACGGCACCCGGGCCACCAGCCATGATACCTAGGCCTCCAGGCACAGCACCTGGGCCACCAGTCATGACACCTGGGCCTCCAGGCACAGCACCTGGGCCACCAGCCATGACACCTGAGCCTCCAGGCACAGCACCTGGGCCACCAGCCATGACACCAGAGCCTCCAGACAAAGCACCCGGGCCACCAGGCAAGACACCCTGTCCTCCAGACATGACACGTGGACCACCTGTCATAACATATACAAACTCTTTGTTAGGAACATATACAAACTCTTTGTTAGGAACATACTAACTTGAATTAACCCCTAGGCTGCTACGCATGGCATATGCCGTTCTGATAAGTCGGGTCGTCAGTGCTACACACAGCATATGCCGTTTATCGGTCTTAAGGTTTTGATCAGTTAACAGGAAGTGTGAAATTGGGTTGTTGCTATACCAAACCCGAATGCGTATAGTAGAAGGCTTCTGATTGGTTGTTTTGTTATAACTTTTGATATTCCTGGAAGTGTACCCTAGTAATAACCAAAGGTGTGCAAGAGAATTTCAAATCGAAAAAAAAACATCATAAAAATGGCGGATATGTAAATTGAAGCAATGAATATAATGGTAAACATTTATTCTCCAGTGTTACCTACAATGATAATAAAGGTTTTGAAGGGTTTGACATGGTTGATGTGGAAATACTTCGGTGTAACATAATATGTAACTTTCCATTGAACGGCTTTGTGCCCTACGCGAACAGGAAAATATCGGCGGACCAAGGCGCACATGTCGTCTACAGATGATGTCGAATTGAACTATGACATTGATACATTTTGAGCCGATTGAATTCTTCAAACTATTTATCGATGACACAATCATAAACTAGACCGAAGCTAAGATATATCTATATGCGGACTGTGACAGTAAATATATTGAATGACGACCTGAAACCTGTAGCAGTTCAAGTCTTGACGAAATACCTGACCTTTTTACCTGAGAATCTCCGTATAAATCAATGTACAGCGTCTTATGCCAAAAATGTAGTTAATTATCTCTGTTATCATTTGCCAATCATATTAGCTGGCAAAAATAATTTTAAAATGATTTTTTTTTAGCTTAATTCCGATTAATTAAAAGTTTCACCTTTTCCTACCTTTATTACCACCTGTACAGGTAAATACTGAAGCAACTTTAGAATTGAAAACGTTAATATAAACTAGAGACAATAACGAACAATTATCATAAAACTTTCATTCACATATAACAAATAATTTTCAAGATATGCACATTTGAAAAATCAAGTAAATGAAAATATACTTCAATAATTAATTCAGCAGTGGTGTCCTTTTACTGGGTAGCAGTCTAAGGGTTTACATACAGCATGACATAGAAGGAAAAGTTTCTTTCTCTGAGCTTGCAGTGGATGGCAAGAGGCATAGGTAAAAATTCTCGCCTGTTAATGGTATTGACATTCACTTATGTTCGTTGATACATTTTTCTTCTTCAAATTTTTCATATTTCCAAACAGGAAAAGGACCTCAAAACAATTTATTATATATGTAGTTTGTGAATAAACAAATTTAAATAGACAATGGCTTTAGGAGGAAACACTGTATATTCATAACATAATAGAAAGGTGGGATCAACATTTGGCCCCCACTTTAATTTCCTTCATTCTTTTGCCATATATGTAGATATATAACAAGAGGCTCAGGGGCCTTAATAGCTCACCTGGTATTTTATTTTTCAATTTAAAACCTGCTGAGTACCATTCAGGTTTATCAAAGGAGTCAAGTAACAAAGTTGCATCTTCCATTTATAAATATTCAATTCCCTTTGCCCAAAGATTCTCTAAAACAAGTTTGGTTAGGTTAAAATCCCTTCAACGGTACAGAAGGAGAAGGATCTTTAATGTTTTCCTCTATTTCCCCTAATGGGCCCCACTAATCTGCCCCAAAGAAGGGGAATCCACACACCTCAGTTTAAACAAAATTGATTCTTTTCTCCCTAAGCATGCTTCAGACTGCATTTGGTTTAAATCCCTTCACTTGTATAGTAGGAGAAAAAAAATCCTCTATTTCCCCTATTGGGCCCCGCTCCTATGCCGCCAGAAGGCCCACACCCTCCGTTTATACAAACTTGAGTCTCCTTTGTCCAAAGATGCTCTAGGACAAATTTGGTCAAAATCCTTCAATTGGTTGAGGAGAAGATTTTTAAAGATTTACCTATTTTCCCCTATTTGGCCCCGTCCCTCTGCCCCCAGGGGGACCATACCCTCCGTTCATACAAAACTGAGAACCCTTTGGCCAATGATGCTCCAGACCAAATTTGGTCAAAATCCCTTCATCGGTACAAAAGGAGAAGGATATTTGATGTTTTCCTCTATTTCCCCTAATGGGCCCCACCCATCTGCCCTTAGAAGGAGGCCCACACACCTCAGTTTATACAAAATTGATTCTTTTGTCCCTAATCATGCTTCAGACTGCATTTGGTTAAAATCCCTTCACTTGTATAGCAGGAGAAAAAAAATCCTCTATTTCCCCTATTGGGCCCCGCCCCTCCGCCCCCAGAGGGGCCACACCCTCCGTTTATACAAACTTGAGTCTTCTTTGTCCAAAGATGCTCTAGGACAAATTTGGTCAAAATCCTTCAATTGGTTGAGAAGAAGAACATTTTTAAAGATTTACCTTTTTTCCCCTTATTTAGCCCCGCCCCTCTGCCCCGAGGGGGGGCTATACCGTCCGTTTATACAAAACTGAGAACCCTTTGGCCAATGATGCTCCTGACCAAGCTTCAGACTGCATTTGGTTTAAATCCCTTCACTTGTATAGTAGGAGAGAAAAAATCCTCTACTTCCCCTATTTGGCCCCGCCCCTCTGCCCCCAAAGAGGCCACACCCTCCGTTTATACAAACTTGAGTCTCCTTTGTCCAAAGATGCTCTAGGACAAATTTGGTCAAAATCCTTCTATTGGTTGAGAAGAAGAAGATTTTTAAAGATTTACCTATTTTCCCCTTATTTGGCCCCGCCCCTCTGCCCCCAGGGGGGTTATACCCTCCGTTTATACAAAACTGAGAACCCTTTGGCCAATGATGCTCCTGACCAAATTTGGTCAAAATCCTCTGAGCCATTCAGGACAAGTAGCATTTTAAAGGAAAAAGTTGATGGACGCCGGACGCCGGACGCTGCACCATGGGATAAGCTCACTTGGCCCTTCGGGCCAGGTGAGCTAAAAATGATCAATAACTGCATAAATGATTATTCATAATTATTATTGATAATTGTAGTGGACCGACCTCCTTGCATAACACCAGGTTGAGTGACAAAATGACCGATAAATATCACAGGCAAATGTTAATTTGGAAATGAATTATGATAGTGTATAGTATATAAAATTACTGTTATTTTGATACTAAATATGTCATATTGGTAGACATACAGTAAGCGTAGTGATACTTTTAATTGGAAAAACATGCAAAATTTTCACAAAATTTAAAATATAACTAACATTGTCAACTTGCCTATATATAGTTACAATGGTAGTCTATATTATAAACTTCTTCAAAAACTTCCTATATATGTATTCTGTCTACAGAATCATTTTTATGTAATATCAAAACCGGTAAAGTACTTTTTTAGCATGCCAAACATGAGCAATGCCCAATTTCACATAACCTTGAAGATTTGACTATCAATGTTTATTATGATAAATACTGATACATTTTCTGTTTTTGTATCATACTAAAACACTTAACTATATTAGGCATGTTTTAAAGTTATGTGCAGCAGTAATAACTCATGAATATGTATTCTGTCATAGTAATCTTTCCCCTGGAGAACTACTTTAGGTTTGAGATTGAGTTATAGACAAAGTTATGCAATTATCTAAAAATAATAAGATAAATTTAATAATAAAACTATTATACACTTTATTATNGGGGGGGGATTGGGGGATTGGGGGATCCTGGAATCAGCTTGTCTATCCATCTATCTGTCAACTCATTCTAAAGTAGTGGACCAATTTCAACGAAAGTTTCCAAATATGATAACTAACACCTGAAGTTGTGCACCCAGGTATTATTTTTTCATTCTGACCTTTTTTCTTCAATGTTATGGCCTTGTGTTGAAAAATCCTTGTCGGGACATGTCTTCCAAAACTAAGGGATCAATTTCAACGAAAGTTTCCACATATGGTAACAACCATCTGATGGTGTGCATCAAGGATTCTTTTTTTAAATCTGACCTTTTTTTTTACAAAGTAATGGCCCTTTGTTGAAAAACACTTGTCCAGACAACTCCTCCAAAACTATGGGGCCAATTTCAATGGAAGTTTACAGATATGGTAACTGCCCCCTGACATTGAGCATCCAAGAAGTATGTTTTCATCACGACCCTTTAAAAAGGATTTATGGCCCTTTCTTGAAAAAAATATCTTTGTCTGCCTCATAAACTTCTGGGCCAAATTCATGAAAGTTTACAGATATGGTAACTACCCCCTGATGTCGTGCATCAGGGTAGTATTATTTTCATTTCAACCTTTTTTAAGGAGTTATGGCCCTTTGTTAAAAATCTTTGTCTTGACAATTCTTCCTTAACTACTAGAATGATTTCAGCAAAAGTGGGTCATCTAGGCTAACAAGATGTGGTATGAAAGTATGATTTGGCATGGAGATCCAAATATGTCACTGTGACTTATATTTATACATAATTACTGGTGGGATACTATGGATTAATTTGAAATGCTTTGCCTTAGTTAGCCTTTCGATTACAGTTCTGGTTTATATAGGAGCGGGGGTATAAGTTAGTCTTTGGTTTACAGTTCTAGTTATTATTTTTGTTGCCTTTTGCCCATTCATTAACTAAAATATGAAGGGATATTACACTTTTTTATATTGTTAACTCTAAACAAATAAAGCAAGGAAAGATACCCTTGTCTGACTTCCTATACAAAAAAAATTGCTGCTTCGGCACATTTGGTTTTTGTGACATTGAAAAAAGGTCAAGGTCATCAAAATTAACAACACTTAAACTCATTACATGAACAACCTACTTGCCAAATATCAACACCCAAGGACCTTAAGTCATGAAGAAACATAAATTAAAGGAAGTGTGGAAAGAAAACTATGTTTTTCTTTTTTTGAACCAAAAGTAGTATATGACAAATTTACCGGTTTTCAATTGATTTGGAATTCCTGATGTTGAAAGATATTATTGTAAGCCAACTTTTCAGCAAGTTAGAAAAATAGACTTGTTTTAAAACTATATGAAATAACATGTCAAAAATGGAAAATTTCTCATTAGAAATGAAATAAAATAGAAGTAGACAGATGATAACCAAAAGCTTTACAATTTGTTAGATACACACAAACCCAAAATTTACATGCATACTTAATAGCATAACATATCACTCAACCATGAACCCCAATGAACAGTTCTCTTATGGAATCATACCTCCAAAAACAAGTCTTGATGCAGCCAGTGCCCCAGGGCCATGGGGCCTCTGAGCAGGGGTCATCTGTCCCTGATACATGTCCAGAGGATAGGGGCTACGGGGCACCTGTATGGGTGGGGGTTGCATGGTGTTTGGAGGTGGAAGTGGTGGGGCCATGCCAGGAGCTACCACAGAGCTCATCAGGGGTCCTGTTCTGGAGGACACTGTCATTTTATCAGTCGTCAACACCTTGGCATGGGCAAAAGTCAGGGAAGCCATTGACTTGGCCACAGATGTGAGTACTTTGGCCGTCACAACATTGGGCGGAGACATGCTCCTGTAAGCAAAGAGATACGTTATTAAGACGAACATTTATTGTCTACACCTTGATAATATAACAAGTGCAATCAATGATTGTAAAGCTCACCAGAAGCAGCCAGAACAATATGCTTATAATATTTTTGCTTCAAAAATTTATTTCATGAACAATTTTGAGATATGTATAGGTCAAATATCAGCATTAGCAAAAGGTTACTCAGGGCTATTCCAGATAAAAGTGTCACCCAACAGTGGACGTTCATGAAAAAAACTTCTATTCTAGGTGGGAGTCGACAAAAAATCACTCGTTTACCATGTCATAAAATGAAAAAAAAACATTTCTGGTCCTGGTAGCAATTACTGAAAATAAAAAAAATCTTCTATGTCATGTTTTGAGAAATAGATCACTTCTGTTCTATGATGCCAGAACATATTATGCATTTGTGTTTTTCTTTCAAAGTAATCAGGTAATGTACAATATTGTCAGCATTCTTTCTTGCCGTTCCGTGCTGTGTAAGGGAGGCAACTCTAAATCCAGAAACCTGAGATGTTAGAAAAAAGTTCGAGCAGAGCCAAAATGGCGTCGGAGCGACATTGGACCACATGGTCTGTGGCTGATGTGGCATTATGGCTAGATCGGAATGATCTAGCTAGTGCCACACCGAAATTTAAAGGTAAGATAACCTAACATGTCTTCAAGATATGTTTTTCACACACTATTCAAATACATAGGCCTATATCAAATTCGTCCATTGGAGTTTGGAGTTGTTTTTCGGCGAATGACTGCGATATCATTGAGTGATTGCTTCATTAAATCCGATTAAAAATCACAGCTGTGGGTGGTTGCTTCATCAATTAAAAAATCACTTCTGAGGGTGGTTGTTTCATTGACTTAACAAAATTGCTTCTATGAGTGGTGTTCTAAAGGAAGAAAACACTTCTATTCCATCTGGCAATCTGAAAGACATCGCTTCTGTTGGTGGTACCCCTTTGAAAAAAGGGAAGTCCGCTAGTGGGTGACATTTCTAACTGGAATAGCCCTCATTGACAAAACTAAAATTGATGCCCAATACATGTATCATATATAATACTCTTAACCATTGAGCCAACATTTAAGCAATGAGATAATTAATACTTGCAAAATAATGTCTTTTGTTTGTCATCACTTGTACTTTTGTAGCTTTATGAGCAACCAATAAGTTACCTTTGGTTATCATATTCTGCAATAGAATTAAATGAACCGTCCATATTGGGTCTGTTATTATCTGAATGTCTTTCTGTCTGTATTTGTTGAAAGGTATCTCTGTCCCAAGTCGGGAAATCATCATAGTCCGGTGGTGTGTTACAGGCTTTACTTGCTTTCTTGGTCCGCGATCTGTATCTACAAAGATGAATTAAAAAAAAACTATTGCAAAGCATGTGGATACTTCAAATTCTTTTGTTAAACATATTCCCAAAATTCTGCTGGTTTAAATTTTTCAAATGATAATATGTATATAACTACAATAACAAAAGTGCAAGTTCATATATAGCATGAAGATCACAATTTCATAATTCATAGCGTTGCTGAAGATTTCCCATTTTTGTCCAGTCCTGGTGCAAGATTTCATGACATTAAAACAGTAAAAAAGATTTGGAATCCAAATTCTGCATATAATAATGGTGACCTTGATATATGCCCTATTGACCTCAAATGCAAATTAGATATTCAGGCCCTATAAATATGGAGTTACGCAAGCGAAACAGGTGATTTATATTTACTCTATTTACCTCAAATGCAATCTTAAGACAAGCTAGAGCAGTGTTTGAATGTAGTGTAGGTAACTTGGTAAGGTGACAGAAATAAGGACAATAAAACACTACATGTCCCTACCCACCTCCCTCAAATGTAAAGAAAAATAAACTGCAAGTAATAAACATCTGACTACCTACTTGTCAAGTTCCTCTTGAGAATGAGCAAATGTGCAATTGGCGGCTCTTGGACAGGTGTTCTTCTGCAAGAAATCTCGACACATGCTGGTCTTGTATCTAGAGTTATGAACAGTAGTGTTTTCCAACTTTTTGTGTCCATTGCTCTGTACAAAGTCTACTAGCCCCTGGACCACACTGCGCACTGCCTTCATCACTGCCTCCAGGTTCTCCCAGGATGGTGGTGGTGCCTCTGTTATAACAAAGTATGTGTATTCATTATCTAAAAGAACTTAAGTTGAAAGATTGCAAACTAGCACTCCAAACAGGAACTTTCTGCAAGACTAATGTCTAGTGATATGAAAATATAAACACATTTTGTTCCTGTAAAGTTTAATGCTTTAAACATTTTTTTAAATTAAAGGGTTGATTAACCATGGCACGAGATAAACCCTAAAATGTTGCATAACACATTACATGGATATTTGTCAGCCAGATATATGTATTGGAGTATTCATGATGATGTTTATAATACCAGGAGAAGGGTCTATGTTAGCCAGGAACTCGAGATGTGTCCTCAACCGCTGTAGGTTACAGGGGTCTCCTGTCCTCTGCAGGGCAATCACTAGCTCATTCACACTCTGAGAGAAGGACTGGGGTGTCTGCAGCTGCAATACCAAAAGCATCAGCTTGTATAGTGACAGAACAGGATTTCCTGACACATGTAATATTCAATCATCATACTTCATTCAGAAAAAAAAAAAAGTTTTGATTTAAAAAATATCCCAGATCTGAAGTAATCTTTTACATCTGAAATGGTTTTATTTTCTGAAATGCTTATCACATGATAAGTGAAAATATGCAGAACACATATAGACAATCTATAATTAGCCAAACCATTTCACAACTTACCAGCAAAATGACATTTAAGATTTTTTTATTTATTTTTAAAACTCACATCTTTGAGAGATACTAACCTTGTCTATAATTGACTGCATGTGTGATTTATGGGTAGTGTCGCCGTACAACAGTGATGACCATTGGTCTGGGGCTATCCTCAGACCTGCCTCCATAGCAATCTGTACAATCTGAGAGTCATGGTCACGTCTCAAGGCGTCGTATGTCCTGCACTCTTCCTTCAACTGCATCAGTGATGATTCTTCCTCACGCTTTGTCACCTAGAAAAAAACACAGGACAGTGAATGAGTATGAATATGTATATATTCCTTCTAGACATTTCATTTCTGAAAATTTCAAAACTTTTCTTTTGAACACTGGAAATATTTTAACACCAATACACATACTGAAGACCTATCAAAATATTGTAAGAAAATTCAATTATTTTTCAAGATATTTAATACATATATGGGACAAATTTTTAACAAAACACGCTGGTTCTGTAACTATCTCGGCCAATAAATAGCATCCTGGAAGCTCTGGACAGCAGTGGCACCATGTGTTCCTGATACCAATGTAGAAGCTCTGTATTCAAAGTAGCACAGACTGTTACTTGTCTTACACGAAGAAGAAGGTTCTGTATAAAGCAGCACCATGTACACATGTTACTTATATAATAGCACCGTAATGTTACTTACCACAAAGCAGGAGGCTCTGTAAAGTAGCTGCACCACATGACCTATGGCTGTTTTGGATGCCTGTGGATAGTGGGTCTCCAGTCGCTGGACCACAAACATGACAAGGACTTTACGTGACAGGGCTGAGCCATCCTCTAGGGCAAGCAGAATCAGCTTCAACACCTCCTCCTGCATAGCTGTACATAACATCAGGATTGGTATCAAAATATTCTGAACAATCAAAATGTCTACACCACACAATGTGCCAAAACTGTATAAATAACAGGTACACTTTTAACTGAACATACCACTAAAGTGTCTGCGATTGTATTGTACTAAATTTGACGTCTCATTCAAATTAAAGCTGTAAAATTATTTTATTATTTCCTTAAGAAAAGGAACCACAACCATTTTGGCTCAGATTTCTTTAAACATCAAACCATCAACTGTTGGCTATCCAAAATTAACTGTTATCCATTATCATAATAATAACCTAGGAATTTTATTTTTAAATTACTTTCAAAGGTTTGAAAAATAAATTTACTGCAGTACCACAAAAGCAATTAAAGAGTACAAGAATAATACCAGTTGTAATGAAACTCCTTAAATTTTAATCAGTTTCATTACAACTGGTAAAAGTTAAAAGCTATATAAAACAATCTTTCTATGGTTATGGACATTCTTATACCAACAGTTTCACCCTTCTTATTAATAGCAATAGTACAATAGTAAATTTGATCACATGCCAAATACCTGGGCCCAGAAACTGACAGCCTCTTGCCCTCACAGCTGCCCACAGGTTGGAGGAAAGTTGCTGGGGATTCTGGTGCTGCAAGATGAGCTCTGTCACTGTACGTTCGCCTAGTGACCGTGCAGCTCTCATTGCCCTACCGCGACCCTCCTCTTCCACCAGCTGACAGTTGACCAGAGTCACAAGTTTCCTCTGCATGGGCCGGCTCAGCACACAGTTGGTGAGAGAATTCCCTGTAATATTCACAGAGGAACCTCCCACACCTACTGCTGTCAATGTGCTGCCATTGTTGATCACCTGGCCTGGCACAACACCTAATCATTGATACAGAAGATATATTTAGGGTCCTGTCATCCAGTCTTCTACAATTAAACTATTTATTTTTTGTTCATAATACATTTGCGCAGCTTTCAATTGACCCTTGACATTCATCAAGTTTATAAATCATATCATGTTTTCCCTGAAATTTAAAGGGTCATATATATTCATATACAAGTCAAGAAGACAATACTTGCAAACCAATGAGTCAAAGCACATTTTAAGGAGTCAAATGCATACTCTCAAGGGTCTAATGACAGCCAATTACAAAAATAACTCTTAAACTTTTCACTTTACAAGGTATGAATATTTTCATAATGGTATTTGCCAAGATCATTAAAAAAAATCAAAATCAAATGCCTTCTGTTTTTTAACACATCATATGACTATGGAAGCTACTAATGACAAGAAATCCTGTAGTACAATTCTAGTTAACAATACATAAACACATTCTTAATAAAAGCAATACCCGAAAAAACATTGGGCTACAAGTTGAGGTACTCACTTGTGGAGAGTGGTTTAAGGTAGAGGGCCAGAGCCTCGATACAGTGACGAGCTGACTCATAGTTGTTGATATGCTCAGATGGTACAGACACATCGTTGTCACAGCTTATAGCTGCAGGTACACCCACCAACTGTAACAGGGCATGATTTACAGGGAGCTCACTAACTGACTTGTTAATGAGATTCTGATCAAATGGGCACTTCCTCTGCTGGAGTTTGGAGAGGCAAGTTTTGCAGATCGTATGTGAGCAAGCGAGGCTGATGGGGAGCAAGTTGTTCCCGTCAAACACTTTGTAACATATTGGACAGGATAGGAATTCTGTCCAAGCAGGTGTCTGTACAGGCATAACTTGATGATTGAATGTTTAACTTTGGTATTAACTATGTATGATGCTACAGATTTTACACATAATCTGAATTAAAGATGATTCTTCTCTTTTAAAATGATCTAGCTGCTTTTCTTTCAATCCTGGGCTTTCTATCATATATGGCAGTGTGCCAAAACTGAATCAATCTGAAAAAGATAGAAAATCATTAAACTATAAGCAATGGAGGATTATCAGAAAATATATGCAATTCTTATTAAACACAATATTGTTCTTTCATTTTGTCAGTGACACTGCTTCTCCACAATCATAGCTTAAACATTGCCAAGTAATTTAATTTAGACAGTATCTGTTTAGCTAGACCCAAGGTTTGACATTCCACACAACTTGCTCTGGGCCAAGCATCTGCAATTTCAAATATTGAGTATAAGCCCAAAGGCAGATTTGAAAAATTCTACTAATCCTACCTAATTTGAACTTTCTTAGTCAATATTGATTTTTTTTTAAATCGGACAGGTGACATTTTACACTCCCGACTGAATGAGGACAACAGGAATCAAAGTATGCATATGCAACAGGAGGAAGAGAAATGCAATGGCAAACCCAGGACCCTCAAACTTTGAACGGATTCTCCAATTGAGCTACCTGGTCGCTGACGATCGACCCAGTCCAGTTCCGCTACATTCCTCCCTCCTTTTTAAAGTTTTCCCCCTTGAAGACACAACTATCAAAAACCCAGGTTCGGGTATCTCCTTGTCAAGCGTACACAAAATACTTGAAACAAGGGTCGGTCAGATACCACTATAACAGGAGAAAGAGAAATGCAACGGCCAAATCGGGGTTTGAACCAGTGATCCTCTGACCTCTTCGACAGATGCTCTACCAATTGAGCAACCTTGTCGCCAACGATCGGCCCAGTCCAGGTCTGCTACACATATATAGCAGCTTTGAGTGTATTTGATTCAATATCATATAAATTACTGTTTCAATATTTAAAAACAAGTGGCCCAGTATCGCTCAGTCACCTGTTTCTTTTGTTACATGAAACTGACATATAGGTAACTTCAGACCAAATTTGGTAACTAGAACACAAGACATTTTAACACCTTTTAAATGCTTCTCAAGATATTGTTTGAAAGAAATTGTAATTTTAAAGGTTTTTTAACCCACGTTGACCTTTGACTCTGGCTAGCACTTAAAGTTGACATTTGACCTCATTACTGTAATTAAGAAAAAGAATTGCATTGCTGGTGCTGGTCTTCATTACATACTGAAGTATCATGACTCTAGTCCAAATGGTTCTAAGGATATTTTGTTTGAAGTTTTTAACATATTTGACCCCTGTGACCTTGAAAGTAGGTCGATCAAGGTCATTTTAATGAGGAAACTTTATATCACTCTTTTTTCCCAGGTACCTACTGCGCCAAATATCATGACCCTTGGCCTTATGGAACTTGAGAAGAAGATTGTAAAAGCTTTTAACCCATGTTGAAATTTGACCCCGTGCTAGCCCTTATAGTTGACCTTTGACCTCATTACTGTAATAAAGAAAAAGATTCGCATTGCAGCTGGTCTACATAACATTACTAAGGCCAGATGAGCTAAAAAAAACATTGCATTTTTTCAATAGACCTCTTTCACACTTTCAGCACATGACAAGTTGGTTGAAGAAATATACTGTACATGTGTCACAAGAGTACTAATATCAATACCCGGCCTCCTCTACTCCAAAAATGTCTCGTCGTCAGAAAGCTACGTTATCGCAGCTAGTGTCACAGGTTATTAATGTTAGAGACAAGCAAGTCACAACAAGTATCATACTGTAATGCTATTTGATCATAAACATTGAAATGTTATGTGTTGTAGTAGTGGTTGACCAATAGAAATTTCAGATTTCGTGGGTGTGTCACCTTGCTTCTTATACCCACATTGTCGAACTAATATCTCGCTGTCAGCAGACTATTCTGTATGCAAGAGAACAAGCCTGTCATATTGCATACAACCTAACAGAAGTCGCGTGAAAAATGACACTGTTCTTTATAAATGCAGCACAACTTAGATATTTAGTTACTGTACAGTACATTACACGAAATGATACACCGTCCTTAAAAAACGTGCACATCAAGATTGGCATTTGCGGAAGGGAATACCTAGGCCAACAGTCACAATAATTAAGTTTGTTATTTCTGGTCTGGAAATTTATTATATGTACATTTATCATATCATTATTCGTCGGTCCTTTCAATAGCATTTATTTGCTTATCCATATCGGATAGTACAGCACTGTTGTTTACCTTGGCGGACAGACAAATGGTTATATTGCCCTCTATTCTGACACTTACCAGTTGTCACCTTGGCGATGATAAAAATATTCAGGCAACATACTTCTAAAATGAAGCAGTTGCTTGAATTAATATTTACAACATGGACGAAATAAAGAAAAAAGGAGGGCGATCGTAGATCGCTCGATTCATCCCATCATGGCTGCCGTGTTGTGATATCTCGATAATTCCGGTTTTTAAAAGTTGTCGACGCCAGGGGCAGGGGACGCAACACACTGAGCATTTAATGAGTTTTCAAAATATAATATGTTATCAAGTAGATCTAGTTTGCATTTTCTGAATAAATATTAATTAATTTATTATCTATTTCTGTTTGAGGTTTATATGATCTGTAATAAAATGATCGCATAACCTGCATTTATTTTTTGAAAAATGGTTTGAATGGGGAGAATGAATGTAAAGGGAGATAACTCGTATATTATATTTTTTCGTGTGCAAAATGGACCTCATTGGAGAACACCTGCTGCAGTAAGGTGAAACCATGGCCCGTATTCATAAAACCGTTCTCTTGCGGAAGCAAGGATTTTGTGCTCAAGCCTAATTTCTTGTTCCAGTTATAAATTATTTACAAGTTCAATTCCTTATCTGGTAGGGCTGGAGTATTGAAATCCCACTGTTAGTTCCTCTCCTTTACATGGTTAAAAACATATGATTTTTAAAAGCATGGTCAGTGCCAAACAGTCAATTTGTTACATTGTTCACTTTTCACTGAGTGGACTTCCATATATATGCAACTAGTAAAAAGATGGCTTGAATTTTGTCGGGTGATGTTTCCAGTGGCTGTTGAGCCGTGACTTGAAGGTGTTGATGAGCATCGGAGAGATTACTACCTCCTCTGTTAGTGAGTTCCACAGATTTATCACTCTGTTGCTGTAGAAATTACCATATTTATTCAGTCTGCATGGTCTTTTGAATAGTTTCCTTGAGTGCCCACTGGTTCGGTTGTCTTCAGCTTCATGGAATAGTTTGCCCTTATTCGAGAGTTGGGAGTCTCAGTTGTCTTACGTGTTCCTCGTATGGTACGTTTTTAAGAGTTGGAATCCTTTTGGTTGCTCTTCTTTCGATGTTCTCGATTGTAATTTTGTCGCGGATCAAAAATGCTGATGAAACTGTTGTCAAGTATTCCAGATGAGGTCTAATCAGCGTTTTGTATAGTGTTAGGAACATTACAGGGCTCATGTATGTAAAAGTCCGGAATATTATGCCCAGCATCCTGTTTGCTTTTGATGCAGCTAAGTTGGCGTTGATGGATAATTTTAACTGATTATTTATATGGACACCTAGGTCTTTCTCGTATTCAACTCGTGCGATTGGGGATTCTTTTCCATCTTGAGTTATGGTGTGTATATGGTCACCTTGTCTCTGTCCAAGCTCCAGATGTTTACACTTTGTGGTGTTAAGTTGCATGAGCCAAGTTTTGGTCCAGTCACACATTTGGTTTATGTTGTCCTGTATATTTTGGCGGTCTGCTAATGTTACAACTTTTTGCAGAGATTTTAGTGTCATCCGCAAATAGTTTGATCGTACAGCTTAACATATCAGGCATGTCGTTGACATAGATTAGGAACAGTATTGGTCCTAAAATACTCAGTTGCGGGACTCAACTTGTGGCTGGTTTCGGGTTCGAGGTTGTACCATTAATCGTTACTCGTTGTACCATTAATCGTTACTCGTTGTACCATATTTTCCAGGAGGGCTCTTATGCAGTTTAAGACTGTTCCCCCAATTCCATACTGTTCTAGCTTGTGTATTAAGAAACGGTATTTTTTTGGTCCTTTCTTGTAGACTGGTGTCACTGTTGCCTCTCTCCATGGTATTGTCAGTTGGGATGTGTCCAGTGATTTTTTGAAGATGATTTGAAGAGTTTTTTTCGAAAATGAGTTTAGGATGTATACCATCAGGTCCTGTTGATTATGTTGGGTTAACCGTTTGATAGCTTAAAGTCCTCTGTGATGTTGATATCAAATAGCGGTTCTTGGTAATTTCTCTTTGGAAAGGGTGGTAGTGGTAGATCTTGATCTCTAGCAAAACCACTTGCGAAGAAGTTATTTAGAGTATTTGCTGTGTCTCTGTCATCAGTAGTAATTTCCCCATTCGGTTTTTGAATTCTTCCAATGCTTGATCTGACTTTAGTTTTTGATCTTACAGGAGCCCAGAAAAGTTTTGGGTTTGTTTTGATTTTTAGTGCTAGGTCTACTTCGAAATGGTATTTGGACTTCCGAACTTTTTTAGTGGCGATGATTCTAGTTTGTTGGTAAGTTAGGAAATTCTGGACGGTTTTGCAGTGCAGATACTTTATCCATTGGCGCCCGTTTTTCAGTTATCGCTTGTTTAGCCTCAAGACTCCATTCTGGATTGCGGAATGTTCTGGAATATTGTCTCTTACTCACTGGTACATATTTGTCAATACTTGTTTTGGTGAAAAACAGTAAGACTGTTCCAGGTTTTCTCTACTCCTTGAGTTTCTTCTAAAATGTTCCAATCTATGTTGGCTAAGAACCGATTGATACGTGTATAGTCGCCTTTGAAGAAGTTCTTTTTAGGTTTGTTGTTATGGTCGTTTTGTGGATCAGAATAGCAGATGAGCTTGAATTGGAGTCCTAAATGTTTGCTTTTCCCTAGTCCTTCCATGTATAATATGTCCTGTTCCATTTCCTCTTCGTTGGTGAATACCAGTGTAGAAGGGGTTTTGTTTTCTCAATATCGTGTTGGTTGGAGAACATATTGATGAAGGACACTTTCCAGGAATATACTGGCAGGGTTGTTTACAATGACTGAAGATTGTTGCCTTTCCAGGTCAATCTCCTTGTAATTAAAGCCACCCAGTAGTAGGATATGGGATATACTGGTGTAGTGTTCAAATGTGCTATACATGTAAGTTATTTCAGACAGATATTGTTGTATGTTGAGCTATTCGGACTCCTGGAGACACGTTTATCAGTTCCGTTTAACTTGACTGAGCACATTACATATTCCTGGCAAGGTTCATCTTGTTCCGTTATGCCCGCACATAGTGTCTTTTTAGTGTATATGACAACTCCTCGAATTCAGTTCCGAAATGGGCAGAATAGTTTTCTAATTGGTAGGACTGAATATCAATTGGTAGATTTGTTGATTTAGGAAGGATCTCGGTCAAGCATATGATGTCAGGGTTTTCAGTACTGATATTTTCACAAAGTTCTTAATCTTTTTGATGAGGTTAGTACATCTACGTTGGAATAATACAATTTGAGGAATTCAGTTGTTTCATAAAAAGTGTCACTTTTGTTCAAAAGCGTAAAACTTAGATCCTATAATCTGTCTACCTCTGGTGAGGTTGGTTCTTTTGTAGCACTTCGTTGTGTTGTGTTTCTGAGATATTTCTGTAGATGAGTGTTGCATCAGTGTCCATTAGGGTGGTATTGTGAAATACTGATGAGTCAATATGGCTTATTAGTAAACCCATTCTGTACACATCGTTGGTATTTCTATAAGGAGTTTTAAATTTAGGCGCCTTGTCTTGAAACACTTGCGAAGTGGATAGGTTGGGAGCTCCAGATCTTGATCTAGCCAAGATAGATAGTGTATAGACAGTAACCTCTCCTTGAATTCGTCTTGAATTAACATTTAAAACTCAGATCACTGTTGCTATTTTTATAAGCGTTCTCAATGCAAAGTATGTTTTTACAAAAAAACAAAAAACCCAAAAAAACAAAAAAAAACACGTCGTATACATGTCCCCCCACTGTCAAATTTTCCTCATTCTTGACATCCTTAGAAAATATATATATATTATATCTCTTCTGAGTTACGAGTGACTGAAACAGTCGACAACAGTAGCGCGTAAGCCTAATAACGTTTACTTATGTGTTATTGTAATATTATACTTGTAGCCACTGTCGTAAGGAAAATAAGCTGACGTTTTCCTTCAATTACTGAAATTGTGAATTAAAGTGAAACATGATAAATCGAAAGAAACAAATAATCATGTTTTCTTACCACAGGGACAATAAATGTATAATATATTTTATCATGCAAGAAGAGAACATCAGATCCAGTGTTTGGTCTTGAACACCACATTGTGGAGCTTTGCCGACAGTCTTTTGTGGGACACTCGGTCGGAAGCCTTACAGAAATCCGGTACCATGGTGAGTACTTAGCAGACTAGCTGCGTCTCATAAAAATTCCAAGGTCAAAAACCATGTTGGCAGATTGTTAGAATAACGTGTTCCTCCAAGGCGATGATGAGGTCAGGGACTAACCAGTATAAGTTCTTAAGGCACTCGGAGGAACGCAATATTTCGAAGGAGTGAAAGCAAGTTGTAATACATACATGTTTGTATATAGCGACACTGGAAGGAGTTCAGATCCATTAGGAAATTGCTCCAACAGCGGGTTCAGTCTTCCTACTGACAGTATCTACACAACCTTATACACTCTCGGCATGAACTTCCTAATAAAAATAACCTGGAGCTACTTAAAGGCAATCTTTCAGATGATTGTAGCATATCAACCATCAAGGATGGAAGGACGGTCATCACCATTGCGGAGAGAAGGCGCAAGTCATCTCGGTCTTTACGATTGAGTGAGGTCCGAGAGACCCAACAAGGGCAACTCGCTTCAAATACCACCCCACTTCGTCACTAGGCACTAGATGTGTAGTCCTCCTTTAAAACCACCAGAAAGCAACAGGCTCAGACTAAATACCGATAACACTAATCTTCATATGTTTCCTCCAACAGTCTCATATATACCGAGAAAGTACCTTCGGACGAAGGCCAACACTGCCTATTATCAAGAGGAGGCAAATTACTAATGGCCATTGTGAGCAAACATTGGAGCACATCGAAGAAAGAAATGTCATGGACCTCACTAAGAGGGAAAAAATCTGTCAAGCTGTGTTGGACTTTTTTCTGCAGCCTTTGCCAAGGTTCCCCATCAGTGCCTAATTTCTAAGCTCGACTTTTATGACATAAGGAGCAACGTCTGCGACTGGTTCAGCGACCTTTTGAGAGGGAGAATCAGGAGAGTAGTAATAGACGATGGGAGGTCAACTATCTTTTATCTTCATCACCGATTCTAAGACAACTTCTAAAGGCATATCAGCCTATTTGCTGACGACTACCTCTTTTATAAGGATTAACAGCCTTAAATACTTAGACATACTTATTAATTGGAGAA